TTTATTTGCCAGACCGTAGTGAACCAATCTGAGCCTGTCATTCATTGTGGTTTTAACATCCCTTTTATTTTCCTTGTTTGTTTAACACTTCCACATAGACAAACCAGAGTAAACCAAACATCTATCCTACTCCCCTTATGGTATATATCCTCAGTGCTAATATCACCCCTCACTAAATTTTATATTCTCTACCTTATTTTTCTTTTCTACTTTTTATTTATTTAACTATCCTTTCAAATAATTTTTGTAAATAGGGTAATAAACAGTATAACATATTTATTCCTGGTCTTATGTGCGAATATATCCCAGTTATGATTTATAGCTTGAAAGCTCAGATTGAGAATACTGGGTAAAATTCTCCCTTCAGTTTGTTCAAATGATAATCAATGATTGGAGGTGTCACACCCAGTAAATTGATACTAAAATTCTACTTTCCTCACCTAAAATCTCATAGGGAGTTGTCCATGAACACGTTTGATTAAGGAAACCATAATGAAAGACTATCCACATAGAAAAATAAAATAAAATTCCATATAAGATAATTTTTTTTAATTCTAAAAAGCAAAATAGAGTGAATTTAAACGTCACTAAAGTGAAATTGCTGTTCCTTACTGAAGATATCATTATCCTTTATGACTTCTAATTTATAAAAACATTCAAACTTTAAGAAAGAACAGTATAGCTCTAGGAGTTAGCAAAAATCTAGTACCTAAAGATATACAGTATACACATATATTTCTATACTACATATATTTTTCTATACTATATATAAAACACATTTTCTATACTATATATAGTATATATATTTTAAAATATTAACATATAGTATTTTTCTACAGGCCCTCTTTTAAAGCACAAATACCATTTAAGAAAATTCACTTTTCATAATGTGTCATGGAAGGGACACCTACAGTATCTATTAACAATTCTTAACTTTAAAATTATCAAATTATAGAATATCATGAAACCAAAGGATTGAATATTAGAACAATAACTCCTTAAATATTATTTTGAGTAGTTTTGGTTATTAATTCTAAAAGAAATAGAATTTATGTGCATTAAATTTAAATAGAACACAATATTTTAAAATAGAAAACATACACAATAAACCTTTAATTTTAAACATGATATTGTATGATATAAAAATGCAAATACTTTCAACTCAATTATTTTTCATTGTCATTGTGATAAAGTATCTTCAAAGGAAATATAGAGCTTTAAATTTACCACACCAAAAGAGTGTTGCCATTTGAAACAGAAAGCAGAGAACCCCATTATACATAATTGAACTTACAAAGGAAATTGAGGTAGACAGAATGTAATTACCCAAATTAGAATTTGGACAGCAAACACATTTATACTGTATGCCCCATGAGTCAGAGTCATGACTGTTTAAATATTCTATACCATTCCTAGGATATTACTATAACTCAACATATGTAATAATAATAAAAGAGCTAGCAACTATGACCTTTTGTAAAATAATGTGAAACTATAACTGAACATAAATCCATATTCTAAAAAGCAAAATCTAAAGTGAATTTAAATGTCACTAAAGTGAAATTGCTGTTCCTTACTGAAGATATCATTATCCTTTATGACTTCTAATTTATAAAAACATTCAAACTTTAAGAAAGAACAGTATAGCTCTAGGAGTTAGCAAAAATCTGGTACCTAAAGATATACAGTATACACATATATTTCTATACTACATATATTTTTCTATACTATATATAAAACACATTTTCTATACTATATATAGTATATATATTTTAAAATATTAACATATAGTATTTTTCTACAGGCCCTCTTTTAAAGCACAAATACCATTTAAGAAAATTCACTTTTCATAATGTGTCATGGAAGGGACACCTACAGTATCTATTAACAATTCTTAACTTTAAAATTATCAAATTATAGAATATCATGAAACCAAAGGATTGAATATTAGAACAATAACTCCTTAAATATTATTTTGAGTAGTTTTGGTTATTAATTCTAAAAGAAATAGAATTTATGTGCATTAAATTTAAATAGAACACAATATTTTAAAATAGAAAACATACACAATAAACCTTTAATTTTAAACATGATATTGTATGATATAAAAATGCAAATACTTTCAACTCAATTATTTTTCATTGTCATTGTGATAAAGTATCTTCAAAGGAAATATGGAGCTTTAAATTTACCACACCAAAAGAGTGTTGCCATTTGAAACAGAAAGCAGAGAACCCCATTATACATAATTGAACTTACAAAGGAAATTGAGGTAGACAGAATGTAATTACCCAAATTAGAATTTGGACAGCAAACACATTTATACTGTATGCCCCATGAGTCAGAGTCATGACTGTTTAAATATTCTATACCATTCCTAGGATATTACTATAACTCAACATATGTAATAATAATAAAAGAGCTAGCAACTATGACCTTTTGTAAAATAATGTGAAACTATAACTGAACATAAATCCAGCATGTATGTCTGGCTTGTGTGTGTGTGTGTGTGAACACGTATATAAGTATGTATGCATGTATGTATTGTTGTTTGTTTTACTGTGTATGGCACTTAGCAAGATTTTCAATATTTATTTACCTTACATACATATAGTGCATGCACATATACTTGTATACAGGTATCAAATTCATATATATACATATGTAATATCTCATCTGTATACATCTATATGTGAAACTTAAGTGAACGAGCATAATTTATTTTAAATGAAATATTATTCTCTTTTTTGATGTGGACCATTTTTAAAGTCTTTGCTAAATTTGTTACAATATTGCTTTGGCTGATTATGTTGTTTTTTGTCTGTGAGTCATGAGGGATCTTAGCTACCTGACCAGGGATCAAACCCACACCCCCTTCATTGGAAGGCAAAGTCTTAACCACTGAACCTAGAAGGAAGTCCCTAAATGAAGCATTTTTTATTGTGAGTGTTCTAACTTTGTCAGACCCAGAATCCTATGATTTAGGACTAGAAGAAATAATTTACCTTGACTTGACTCCTATCATCAACTCTTCCTAATACATCCTCTTAAGGCTGTTTGGAAGGCTAGAGAATATATTATTTCCAGAGATACATTTAATAAAAAATAATTTATCTAAATTTGCACAATTTAAAACTGAAATTTTCCCTTTTCTTTTTTTCTTTCTTTAAAGAAATAATTATAATTTGAGGTGATGCAGATAACATTTCTGGGCTCCTCAAGTCGTGCTAGTGGTAAAGAGCCTGCCCACCAACGCAGGAGACAGAAGAGATGTGGGTTCAATCTCTGGGTTCAGAAGATCTTGCGGAAGGCATGGCAACCCACTCCAGTATACTTGCCAGGAGAATCCCATGGACAGAGGATCCTGGAGTGCTATAGTCCATAGAGTTACACAGAGTCTGACCCAACTGAACCGACTTAGCATGCAAGCACGCATGCAGATAACATTCCTAGTCTGGGTATTACTGGATATGGGTGGGTGGATAAACATTCCCAAACACAGAATTTGGCTTAGTCATGTGGTTTTCACACAGAATGCAAGGGTCCCTGTGTAAATCTACTCTTCAGATGAGCAAACTGGCCTACACTAGTGAATGTTTACACAGAAATGTTTTCTTTGCTGAAATTGTAATTAAATTATTATTTTCCCCATTAAAGAGGCTTTTAGTTAGTGAAGATACAGACACCTAGATGGAGAATTTTAAGTAAATGTTTAGCTTTTTATTTGCTTCATATAGAATTATATATACATAAATATATATATGTACACACACACACAACATACAAAAGAAACTTAATTATTCCCTTACTTCTCAAAGTGTAAATTCAGAAATGTTGAGAAATGTTTTTGAAAGCATTTAATTTAACAAAAGAGAAATGCATTAAGAACTTTAACTCAGAAAACAATAATGTGGGCTGAATTTAGAAAAAAAGCTATATGTTTATTTTAAAATATAATCAGTTATTTGGCTATGACTACATTGAGGTTAGATTGATGATTTATTTCAATTACTGAGATATAAAACCTTAAAGTTGAATACAGTTCTGGAGATTCTAATTACATTAGTATTAAAAATGCCATATTAACAGATGAGAAGATATGTTACATTAAAGGCCTTCTGTTATGTCCTTAGAGAGGTAAATAAAATTAATTACATTTCTACTGGGAGAAAGTTTAATATGGTAGGAAATGTGTACAGAAAAATACCACTAAGGATTGAGTGCTAGAACAAAGATTAAAAACAAAAAAAACCACCAGAGTATCTGCAGGCATATTACTACCAGCTATTTTAAGTGTGGAGAAGTAGATGGCAAAAAGCTCCATCTGGGGTCCACATGACCACTTCATGTGTGGGCAAAAAATTATGCTTTCTTTTATCCCAAACACTTATTATTTTGGCTCCCTGTTCTATGTTATTGTTAACTGTATTTTTTATTCATAATGTACTGTACATAAAATATACATCCTGAAGACTACATAGAAAATCTGTGAAAAGTTTTGTATGACTTTTTGAAGTCTATTCTTTGAAGAAATCCTATTAACTGAAATAAACTAATTTATGAAAGAAGGGATTTCTTGGATTCTTTTTCACTTAGACATATTTAAATGACTAAACATATCATTTCCTCACTAAAAGGCCAGCAGTTTAAAACAGCTAAATATTTATTAGAACTGGTATACTGTCTTTTAATACATCAGACAAACTTAAACAGCTAGATTCCTACTATTAATTGGCAATAAAAAGAACATTTAGGCAGAATGGTTTTTAAAAGGCCCAGGTCATTTCATCTAAGTATTTATTAAGATACAGTATACCTATTGGGGTATTTCTAGCCAACTGAATTTGTGTATTAAGTTTAAAATATCAAATTGCTAGAAAAATGCATTATCATGGTTCGTCAGTCTCAAGAATGGATTAAGCTGGAATAGTATGACTTTGGGAAAAATTGACAGCTGAATCCTCCATGTTCCTTTCTCCCAGAATGTGAAAAAGTCCTACCTGTATGTTAGTCAGAAGGGTCTCTATGGAAGACAATCCATCAGGAAACAGAAAAGGAGATGGGAATCCTGGAGGTAGTGGTTGTCCATGCCCAGTTAGAGAAAGTTTGTCAAGGCTGTCTCTTGCAGTTGGTGTGGAGAGCGGGGTCTCATCTGTATGTGATTGAAACAAAAATATAGAACAAGTTACGCTTGTCTGTTTTTATTAGACCTCAGTAATGGCTTCCCTAGTGGTTTCCAGAACATTTATTGCAAATTGGTTCCTGCTATCAGGAGAAAATGCTTTCTGCTGAATTTTCTTTAATGAAAAAGCTGTGGAGATACAACAAGATAACATTAATGAGTAACTTTATAAGCCTTTTAAATGCAGTCTCTAATGAGACTGAGTTTACAGTGCCATAGAATCTTTTTAAAGCAAATATTATCTCATATATAGTTGTGATAATATATTCAGGCTGACTTTATGGGCACCTTCCCAATTATCTCATTTTAGTTTATTCTGTTTGGATTGACAATGGGATATTTCAAGAGCTTCATAAAGGAGAAATGTTTTGTATATTAGTGTTTCTTTCTCAATTAACCTGGAAGGGTTATATATATCAATGATTTGTTCAAATATATTCTTAAGAAGTCTACAAACAAATATACAATTAAAAACTTTAATTCCATAACTAAAAAAAAAACAAAAAACTGGAATCAAATACATACTTCAGTAATTATAATTGAATTATTCAATATCATCCAAAGATCTGGACCAGAGACCCCAGAGAGACTGAGACAGAACTGTGTTTGAGCGTCTCCTGTGGAGGAACGGGTCAGCAGTGGACTGCCATTGGTGCAGGGGCTCTGGGCGCAGCAGACTTGGGTATGGCATAAGCCCTCTTGGAGGGGGTCACCATTAACCCCACCATAGAGCTGCCAGAACTTACACAGGACTGGGAAACAGACTCCTGGAGGGCATAAACAGAACTTTGTGTGCACTAGGACCCAGGAGAAAGGAGCAGTGACCCCACGAGAGACTGACCCAGACTTGCCTGGGTGTGTCCAGGAGTCTACGGGGGAGGCATGGGTCAGTGGTGGCCTGCTCCAGGGTTGGAGGCACTGAGTGTAGCAGTACATGCCTGGTGCCTTTTGAGAGGTCACCATTATCTTCATTATCTCCACCATAGTTTGGCCCCAGGTAAATAGGAGGGAGGGAATACAGTCCCACCCATCAACAAAAAATTGGATTAAAGATTTACTGAGCATGGCCCCACCCATCAGAAGACCCAGTTTCCTCTTCAGTTAGTCTCTCCCATCAGGAAGCTTCCATAAGCCTCTTATCCTTCTCCATAGAGGGCAGACAGACTGAAAATCACAATTACAGAGAACTAACCAATCTGATCACATGGTCCACAGCCTTGTCTAACTCAATGAAACTATGAGCCATGACGTATAGGGCCACCCAAGACGAACGAGTCATGGTGGAGAGTTCTGACAAAACGTGGTCCACTGGAGAAGGGAATGGCAAACCACTTCAGTATTCTTGTCTTGAGAACTCCATGAACAGGATGAAAAGGCAAAAATATGGGACACTGAAAGATGAACTCTCCAGGTTGATAGGTGCCCAATATGCCACTGGATCAGTGGAGAAATAACTCCAGAAAGAATGAAGAGACGGAGCCAAAGCAAAAACAAAACTCAGTTGTGGATATGACTGGTGATGGAAGTAAAGTCTGAAGCTGTAAAGAGCAATACTGTGTAGCAACCTGGAATGTTAGGTCCATGAATCAAGGCAAATTGGAAGTGGTCAAACAGGAGAAGGCAAGAGTGAACATCGACATTTTAGGAATCAGCGAACTAAAATGGACTAGAATGGGTGACTTTAACTAAGATGACCATTATATCTACTACTGTGGGCAAGAATCCCTTAGAAGAAATGGAGTAGCAATCCTAGTCAACAAAAAAGTCCAAAATGCAGAATGTTCTCTGTTCGTTTCCAAGGCAAACTACCCAATATTACGGTAATCCAAGTCTATGCCCCTACCAGTAATTCTGAAGTTGAATGGGTTCTACAAAGACCTACAAGACCTTCTAGAAGTAACACCCAAAAAGGATGTCCTTTTCATCACAGGGGACTGGAATGAAAAGGTAGGAAGTCGAGAAACACCTGGAGTAACAGGCAAATTTGGCCTTGGAATACGGAATGAAGCAGGGCAAAGGCTAATCAAGTTTTGCCAAGAGAATGCACTGGTCATAGCAAACACGCCTTTCTAACAACAAAAGAGAAGACTCTACACATGGACATCACCAGATGGTCAATGCTGAAATCAGATTGATTATATTCTTTGCAACCAAAGATGGAGAAGCTCTATACAGACTGTAAATACAAGACTGGGAGCTGACTGTGGCTCAGATCATGAACTCCTTATTGCTAAATTCAGACTTAAATTGAAGAAAGTAGGTGAAACCCCTAGATCATTCAGGTATGATCTAAATCAAATCCCTTACAATTATACAGTGGAAGTGAGAAACATATTCAAGGGATTAGATCTGATGGAGTGCCTGAAGAACTATGGATGCAGGTTCATGACACTGTACAGGAGACAGGGATCAAGATAGTCCCCAAGAAAAGAAATGCAAAAAAGAAAAATGGCTGTCTCAGGAGGCCTTAAAAATAGCTGTGAAAAGAAGAGAAGCATAAAGCAAAGGAGGGAAGGAAAAATATATTCATTTGAATGCAGAGTTCCAAAGAATAGCAAGGAGAGATAAGAAGGCTTTCCTCAGTGATCAATGCAAAGAAACAAGAGGAAAGAAATAGAATGGGAAACTAGAGATCTCTTTAGGAAAATTAGAGATACCAAGGGAACATTTCATGCAAAGATTGGCTCAATAAAGACAGAAATGGTAGGGACCTAACAGAAGTAGAAGATATTAAGAAGAGGTGGCAAGAATATACAGAGTTCAGTTCAGTTCAGTCACTCAGCCGTGTCCGACTCTTTGCGACCCCATGTACCGCAGCACGCCAGGACTCCCTGTTCATCACCAACTGCCAGAGTCTACCCAAACCAGTGTCCACTGAGTCAGTTATGCCATCCAACCATCTCATCCTCTGTCATCCCCTTCTCCTCCTGTCCTCAATCTTTCCCAACAGCAGGGTCTTTTCCAATGAGTCAGCTCTTCACATCAGGTGGTCAAAGTACTGGAGCTTCAGCTTCAACATCAGTCCTTCCAATGAACACCCAGGACTGATCTCCTTTAGGATGGACTGGTTGGATCTCCTTGCAGTCCAGGGGACTCNGAAACGCTTGACTGAAGCACAATTGCTGGGAATCAAGCATTGCTGGAATCAAGATTGCCGAGAGAAATATCAATAACCTCAGATATGCGGGTGACACCACCCTTTTGGCAGAAAGGGAAGAAGTACTAAAGAGCCTCTTGATGAGAGTGAAAAAGTTGGTTTAAAGCTCAACATTCAGAAAACTAAGATCATGGCATCCAGTCCCATCACTTCATGGCAAATAGATGGGGGAACAGTGGAAACACTGAGAGACTTTGTTTTTTTTGGGCTCCATAGTCACTGCAGATGGTAACTGTAGTCATGAAATTAAAAGACACTTACTCCTTGGAAGAAAAGTTATGACCAACCTATACAACATACTAAAAAGCAGAGACATTACTTTTCCAACAAAGATTCATCTAGTCAAGGTTATGGCTTTTTTCAGTAGTCATGTATGGATGTGAGAGCTGCACTATAAAGAAAGCTGAGCACTGAAGTATTGATGCTTTTGTACTATGGTGTTGAAGAAGACTCTTGAGAGTCCCTTGGACTGCAAGGAGATCCAACCAGTCCATCCTAAAGGAAATCAGTCCTGGGTGTTCATTGGAAGGACTGATGCTGAAGCTGAAAACTCCAGTGCCTAACTGACTCATATTGCCTAACTGACTCATACTCAATACTGAGATGAACTGACCCAGGTTTTTGAAAAAAATCTGATTCTTGGAAAGATTGAAGATGGGGGAAAGGGGACAGCAGAGGATGAGATGATCGGATGACATCATTGACTCTATGGACATGAGTGTGAGTAAACTCCAGGAGTTGGTGATGGACAGGGAGGCCTCGAGTGCTGCAGTCCATGGGATCGCAAAGAGTCGGACATGACTGAGCAACTGAACTGAACTGAATTGACTTTATTTTGACCCTTGAATACCTCTCACCTTGGAGCTTCCCAGGTGTCTCTAGTGGCGAAGAACCTGCCTGCCAATGCAGGAGACTCAGGAGATGTAAGTTCGATCCCAGGTCAGGGTGATCCCCTGGAGGAGAGCACGAAAACCCACTCCAGTATTATTGCCTGGAGAATACCATGGACAGAGGAACCTGGTGGACTATAGACCGTGGGCTGCAAAGAGTCAGACGTGACTGAAGTGACTAGCACACACGCACACACCTCTCACCTCATATTCAAAAATTAAGTTTTTTAAACATGTAAAAGGGGTCTAAAGAAAAGAAAAAATACCAACAGCCAAACAATATTTCAAAACTCAAATATACCCTCTAAGATAAATTAGCCTTTAGTTTGTTTATTGAGTATTTTCCCAAGTTGAAAGCAACTCAGAGCAATGTCTAGATACAAATTCTTTTTACTCTCACATGAAACCTTCTTATTCAGTTCTTTATGATTTAAATGTTTTTACATAGATGGATACTTGTTATGGCTTATTTTAGCTTATTATATCACAGAGAAAATTTTATTCAGGGCAGGATTCTCAATTTTATCAATATTTTCATATTTCACCCCAGGAAAATTAATCAGAGCAATATATTTGCACAGTCCTGATAGTATCGCTCAATTTTTCAACTGGCTAAAAACTTCAGCACACTTGCCTTTATGCTTATAATTTGATTCCACTCTCCTGAATCATTTCTTTATTTTTCATTACACCATCTAACACACAACACCTTTTTTAATTACCTCTCTCTGGGGCAGAAATATTCTGGAAGTCACTGCATTTCTGTCTCTAACTAATGTCAGGACAAGTTAGACTCATTTCCCTTCACCTTTCCACACTTCCAGGTAATGAACCAAAAGGTAAGGAAGGTTGGGGAGGGTAGTGACAGACACAAGGCCTTCTTTGAACTACGCTTCTCTCATACACGCTCACTTCTCTGCAGTTTC